ATAAAAGGCTGGAATAGGTTTTGTATTGACTTTCTAATACCCACTCAAGAGTTGGAAGAAGAAAATTAAAGATAATAAAGTAAAAGTGCAAACCATAAAAGTGTAGACAGCCAGTGCATAGTAAACTGTGAATGTGAGTCCTCTTCAGTTCAGGAAACCAATTGTGTAACTCAGTAAAGGTCAGCAGCAAAGATAAGAAGTTGAGCTTGTCAGTGAATCCCCTTCTATATTTGGAAGGATGACGACTGCAGGATGATACAATCTGGGTCTGCAGTGATTCAAAGACTGGTACCTGTGTCCTACCCTTTCTGCGTGCATTTGAGAGCTGAGTGGTGTTCCTGGACCCTGTCACACTCATTTGAAGTTGACTTGCTCCTGGGTAGCTTATCCAATCCACTGGGCAATGACGATAGTGTAAACTGGTAATACCATCTTAACTCTGTTCAGTGGCAGAGATATTTATATTTATAGAGTCAGGTGTGAGCCAAAGCTCTCTGCATCTGCCTTTCTTACAAAAAACATTCACTGATGCTACAGAAATTACATGGCATCTTTTTTGGAGCTCATCTCTCTGTGGTCATATTCAGCCCTTATTTCGGGTAGGGGTTATTCCTAGAATAACCTCATCATCTTTATTAGGTTCTTCTTAGAGCTCCTTTCACTGGGAGCTGTCCCAGCTTCTGCGATACTTTTGTGGACTTTCTCACTTCCTTTTTTTCATCTTAAGTGAAAGAGGATAAAAGGATTTGAAAAGATAAGAAAGGGTTGGAAAGAGAAATTTGATACCCTGAGTCCAGCAGCCCTCTGAGGAAGGAAAACTATGGGACAACTATGGGACTTTGTCCCATCTCAGTATGCTTTGAGCAAACTATGAGTGAGATTTTAGACCTGCAGGCCCAAGATGCTCCTCTTAAGGACGGGAAACAATGTGTGGGAACCCACACATTCCATTTGGCAAGTACTGCAGTGCTCAACGAGTGAAGTTAAAGGCAAAGAAGGAGTGATAGTTGGAGGGGAAAAAGAGAGTGCATAAAGGACCAATTTTGAATGATGGTGAATTTGATGAGGATGAGAATATGAGGAGGAACTTCTTTACTGTTCAGGTGGCTGATCACTGGAACAGATTGCCCAGAAAGGTTATGGAGTCTCCCTCATGGGAAATATCCAAGAATTGTCTGGATACGATCCTGTGCCATGTGCTCTGGGATGACCCTACTAGAAAAGAGAGGTTGTACCAGATGGCCCTCTGTGGTCTCTTCCAACCTGACCCATTCTGTGATTCTGTGATTTGGGACATAGAGTCCAAAGATGGGACAGGGCAAGAGCGAGTGGAGAGATTTGTTCCGACCTCTTACAAACAGCAGATGTGGAAGACATTAACAGCACTAATGACTGTAGACTGCTGCTCCAAGGACATAAAAGCCATCTCTGCCTAAGTATCCTGTCATCCATGTGACCAAGAGATGAACAAGGCTTTCACTGAACATGACTGGTATGCATGATTTTGAATCAAATCAGAATATACTCTAGGTCTGAAGTATTTCAGACCTCAGGTTCTACCTTGTTCAGCTCCATGAGTTTTCAATGATGTTGCCTCATAACATCCAGCATGTCAAACTCGTACAATTAGGGGGTGTAATGGCCCATGAGTTGTTGGATACATGCAATGTATTCATGCAATCATTTAATTTTGATCTAATTGGTTACTGTGTCAAAATAACGCCATTTAAATAGGCTTCTTTGACGTTCCTTTCCAAATTCCTTTGAGGTGAAGAGTCAAATGTGAGGCAGAGAGGAGCTATTTGCTCTGCTTTCGGTTTTAAGGGAGAAACTTTGGATGGAAAACTCAGAAAATCCAGATCTATGTAGAAGCTGCAACTCCTTGGTCAGAAAAGAGATGGAACTGCAATTGTATGGATAAGCTCTAGTCTCTTGTACTGGGAATATAAAGCAAAGGTCTGATGCAAGTAATGACAACACTTCCAGTTTTTGCACTTCTTCCATGGAGGTTTGAAAGCAGGAGTAGCCTTTGACACTTGTGTCTGGCCTCACGCACAGCGCTGAACTTCAGCTAGTGACTCTTGCATCTGTCCCACAGTGTCTGGCTCAGCCAGAGGTATCTAATTGCCTTGAAATGTCTCAAAGCAAGATAGAGGTTACCACATCCCTGGTCTCAATGGTTAATTACCCTCACTGGTTAATTATTCTCACTAATTCCTTTCAGTGACAACAAGGTGGCCATAAGGGTTTTGGTGGGGGTTTTTCCTACTGCATTTAGTTACTCTGAGGTTCAGCTTCACCTTTGTTAAAATGGAAGTGATAAATGAAGAGCTGGATCATCCTCCAATGTAAATTAACATTACTGACCACAAAAACACCTTTCCAACTCTTTTCCAAACAGCCTTTGCACAATGAATTTAATTGCCTTCTTGGGCTTTCCAACTCCTGCTTAAACCTATTTGATTTGGGGTTAGAGTCCTTTGAAAATCCTGCCTGTGTCACTCTGTACTTTTGGTAGGCAGGATGCAAAAGTCCTGAGCATGACATTGCCTGTGAAATGATGCAAGCCCACTATCTCTGCAGCATTGTTCTTACAAGCGTGTATGATATCAATAAAAGATTATCCAAGTTCAGGAATGAAAAAATAAAAATGAAGGAGAAAAGGATTGGGAATCATTCACAGCAGGTCATTTTGGTTGGACTGCAATCAACTTGCCAGGCTTGATAAGACAGGTATTTGAGAGAGTATTGATCTCAGATGTTTTCTCTTTTTAATTTCATTTTTTGTATTTGTTTATATTTAATGTTTAATAAGCTCCTTGGATCTTGCTTTCTGGTTACATACAGCCTCTGGCTTGTGTACTTGCTACTTCTAGAAAATTGTGTAAAATTTCTGCAGCTACTGGGCCAGCCTCGATTTTTGTATCACAGGCAAGGGCTCAGCTCAGCTTTTCATACCTCTCTCCGGTTTGTTCTGGCTTGATTTAGTAAACCCTGGAGTTCGCAAGACTGGTGCAATTCCCCCACTACATTGTCATTCTGAAAGATTTTTGCAATAGGGATCATACCTTGGTACTCTAGTTTCTCTCCTAGAGATTTTGTGCATCTGTGGGCTCAGCTTTGCTATTTTCTTTCTTGAAACTATTCCAGGTGCCCTCTGCAAGTGGATTGAGGAGCCCAAGTAGTGCATTTACACCTAATAAGATGCAGTAGTTCTTGATCTTCATATTTTGCCAGGCAACAAAGAGAAGAAGAGAGGGGAAACAGAGGCACAGAGGTGAAAAAGACTTTTCCAAGGTCATATTGCCGACCATGTCAGAGCCTGCCAAGACCCCAGTGCTCTCAGTCACTCCCTAGTGAGTTATCTCCAGCACCAGAAAACCTCTCCAGGGTGATTTAGAGGGGTGTGATTTTAACCAAGCTCAAGGCCCAGCAGTCTAATGAATCTTCTCCCAGCAACTGGCATGCACATAATTCATCTCGTTTTTCAGGCTTTTGTGACTATTACAAGAGCTGTTCACCCTAACCTGCCTGTATGATTCATCTGTGTTTTGTACAGCTTTTGTTACTCAAACTGTAACTCTCAAGTGCAAGGGGTAAAAACAAAATTAAAGAGTGATATCTGACAGCAGATGAAGATTTAACAATATGGAGAGTAAAGACTTTTCCTGGATCTTGTTCCAAGCTGTACCAGTATTTAAGATGGTTAGACTTGGACCAAAAATAACAAAAACATTGAAATGAGAACTCAGATCTGAACTTTTTTTGCTGGGTTTATATCCAGTATTTCTTGACAGGGTCAGTCTCTGTTAGGATGGTATTGTGCTAGGATAGATTCATAGAATCATAGAATTGTTTAAAGGTTGGAAAAAAACTTTAAAATCATTGAATCCAACTCTTAACCCAACAGTGTCAATTCAACCAGTAAACCATGTCCTAAGCACCACATCTGCACATCTTTTAAATATGTCCAGGGGTGGCAACTCCACAATTTCCCTGGACTTCCTTGGTCAAGAATGCTTGACCACCCTGTCGGTGAAAAAATTCTTCCTGATGTCAAACCAGAACCTCTCCTGGTGCAGCTTGAGGCCACATCTTCTCATCCTGTCACTGGTTGCTTGGGAGCAGAGCCTGACCCCCACCTGAGTACACCCTCCTTTCAGGCAGTTGTAGAGAAGAATAAGATCCTCCCTCAGCCTCCTTTTCTCCAGGTTAAACACCCCAGCTCCCTCAGCTGCTGCTTATAAAACTTGTGGTCCAGACCCTGCCCCAGCACTGCTGCCCCTTCTCTGGACACACTCCAGCACCTCAAATAGTGAGAGGAGGCAGGTAGGTTGTTTCCACTGTGAGTTAAACCCTGTTTCATTTCCAAATTTGGGGTCTGTTCCCAATAATGGGCTACAGATATGATGTGAAAAAGGTATTCCAAAGAAAGGACTATCTTAGAGCTGTACCTCCATTTCTACCTGATTTTTGGTTTGGCACCAAAATCCTTGAATGCATTTGAAATTTTCCTGCCACCTTCTTCCCTCAGGTAGATAAATCACCACTCTCTTTTTTTATGTAATCAGCTTGATAGGATGATTAAAATTAAAATGTACAATAAGTGTGTTCTGCTTTAATGTTTTGGGTTTTTTGTTTAAAACCTGCTTTCAGAAGGTGTTGGTTTAAAGGAATATAATAACTCCTGCATTAATTTAAATCCTTCCTTTTGAATGCTATTTATTTTTTCATTGTTATTATTATTATTAACCAAAGTCCGTTTGGTTTTGAATTAGCTGTTTCACTCTAGAAGAGAGTCTGATCAGGCTGCAGGCTGAGAGATGTAAGAAAACACAGTTTAAACATTCAGTGACTTTTTTTATTACCAAGTATGAAGCTGTCCACTCCAAATAGGAGCATTGAGCTCAGCTTTGCTATCCTCCACCAGCTTCCCTTTCTAGTAATGACTTCAGGACTGGTAGTTAGCAGAAGGAATTTTATTTAGGACTCATGTTTTGATAAGATTTGAGAATATTAAAAAAAAAAAACAAAACAAATGACAAGCACTGCTAAGTAGGTGGTTAGCCAGTTACAAAGCACAGATCTAAAGCAATACACATTTTCAGAGAAACTGTACAATGTAAGCCCCTGGGGGACAGGCTCAAGTAAAATGAAATGGGGTTTGCAAATTCATTGAAATTAGGTGAAACATTCGAGAACCATCACCATTTAAAGAAATTGATGAGCCCTTGTCTGTATGTGCGAGTCCATAGCATTAATCATTCACACAGACAGGAATGGACTGTAGTTTTCAGACAGGATTTGCTGAGGGGAGTCAGGTGGTTTTGAAGATCTGTCTTTATAGCTCGAGCTGCACACAGTGAAGTAGAGGTGTATGTATACAGCTCTCACAGGTCTCCCTACACCCTATTATTACAGCATATGTGTCTCATTCTGCAGGCAGCTCTGTTTGCAGCTGACATTGGCCAGCTCTTGAGACTTTCATCAGTTCAGCTGGCACCTTCCTGTGCAAAGAAAGGCTGATGTTAAGATGTGAGTCTGAATGCAAACTCTCTAAAGCAAGTCATGTCTCAGTTTCCTGAACTATGTAAAGTACAGGAGATATGCATAGATCTGTCTTGTAGAGCTGTCACAAGAGAAAGGAAAAAAAAAACATTTGTAAGATTAAATTAATAAAAAGTCCCACTGGCTTTCATTTACTATTGGATTTGTGGGACGTCCAGGTCAGTTGTTATGTTTTTAGCTTTCAACTCCAGTGTGCATTTCTTGACTCCTTCCTCTCCCATCATTAAGGTCTGATCCTGCCAATTTTGCTAGCAAGAGTAAACACTACCCTTTGAAAGTGTGACATTGATTGACATAAAAATTTCACATTACATAGGGTGTTGAGAGTGAATAAAGATTTCAGGCTCAGATTTACAAAGGATCAAATAGAGATGGCTGAGTGAGAGCTATCCGCTCCCATCCCTCAGCACCTGGCTGCCCCAGAGTGCAGGTCTGCATCCTCAGGACTGGTGTCCTTCAGATAAGCCATTCACCAGCACTCCCTTGTCCTGCCCTGTCTCTTTTGTGCTGTCCAAAAAGAGCTTAAAAAGATTCAGGTGTAACTTTCCCACAAGCAGTGTCACCTCAATGTCTTTGCCAAAGTTTCCCTCTCCCTGTAACAAAAGGCTCACATGTAAGCTGAGTGCATGACAACTTCCAGGGTTTAACTATGCAGGGGCAGACTGTGTCCTTGGTTTACAGGCTGTGCAGAGATAACCCTCCTCCCTGTCACCACTGTCATCAAACATAACCTCATGCAGTATCTGAGTGGTGATCCATGGGATGAAGCTCAGTCTGAAAGCCAGGCTTCTCTGGCACCAATTTGAGGATCCTCTGCATTGAGTCCGCATTAAGATGTCACCTGATTGCAAAGCCTGGGCATCTCCTTGTCCAAAAAAAAAAAAAAAAAATATGCTGGGGTACCAGGTAACTCAGCATCAATCTAAATCCTTATAAGTCAGCATCGTTCTAAATCCTTATCCCTTACCCCTGTGAATTCTGTGTGCTGCACTTGCTCCACCCTCTACTTCTCATTTCCTCACTCATCTAGCTCTTCCTCAACATGAGTGAGCTCTGGAGCAGAAAGCAAAGATAAGGGAGATCCCATGCTCTGTTCTCCCCTTCACCATGCAGCACTGGTATAGCCTATCAGTACTGGAGATAAGTTACTAAATGTGCACCTTTATAGCCCTGCTTTATTGCAGCAGCACTTTAGTAGGAGGGCATCTTACAGTCACCAATTCCCCTTTTTGTTCCCCAAACCATAAGATCCTCTCCCTCTTTCTCCTCCTCTCCCTCCTTTCTCAGACAAGGAGAAGAGTGTCTGCCTCCACAACCACAGCAGTTGGCTGTGGTGTCACAGATTAGCTGCTCCAGCTCTCTGCTTTATTGCTATTCAGATTCGTTTCCCCATCCCATCAGGCAGTAATCCAGTAAAAGATGTCAGCTGGTTAGCAGAATCATCTGGGAAAAGTTGGGAGACCCTTAACAGACTTCTCCTTCCCATTGCCAGCCCCCTGCTACTAATTCAAATAGTCCCCAAAGCGCTTTGTTTGTGGTTTGTATTTTTTTCTCGTTTTCTTTCTCTTTGTCTGTTTTCTTGGTTTTGTTGTTGGTTCGGAGGGGTTTTTTTGATTTTTTTCTCCTGGACTCAGCTGCATCTCTGCAAATTCAGTCTCCAAAATGGAAGCTTGGCTGAGCTGGAAGCTGTCAGCACCGATGGTTAGTAGCTGGCTGCTGCCTCTTGCCAGGGAAAGCGGAAGATGAGTCCCTAGGCATTGAGGCGGCATGAAAAGTGACTGCATCTAAATACTTCAGCACATGATTTCTTTCCCATTACTTTGATTCAAATCTCCCTTAATCCTCAGCTGCGTTAATGCAGTTAGTAGGTTATGAGTGCTGCATGTGGATGCCACTGGATTTGAGTCCTTCACACAATTGGCTGGTAAATAATTTAGTACCAGTTTTGCCTGGAACAGAACCTGAAAATAGCCAGTCTGCTTATAGCTCCTGCTTCCTCCCTTCCCACTTTTTTCCCCTTCATAAGCACTGAGGGGTTGTTTGTGCAAGCACAGCCTGCCAGAGACTGCCATTTTACATGTCACAGCTTCCTCCTGTCCCTGCTCGTCAGAATCTCTCCAAATTTATTTTCTAGAAGAGAAGGGAGGGGAAGAGTAGGGTCAGGCCAGAGAGCTGGAGCTACACACAGAAAAGCAACTGAACACTCCTGACTTGGAGTCTGCAAACAGTAAGAATTTGCCCAAAATTCTGTGACTAAACTCAGTTTTTCCTTTATATCTGCTGCTTTTGAAATAGTGGTATATTCACTGAGATTTCTGCACTTCTTAAATTCAGGCTGAGGTCAACATGGCAAAGACAGAAAATGGTAATAACAAGGAAGGAATTTCTGAATTTAGGAAAAGGTCCTGGATGAGCAAGGAAACAAGAATTCTACTGAAATGGCCAGACTATCTGGAATGCATCAAATTCAAGTACTGTGATTTTCTTTAGGCACAGCAGTAATAGTATCCCTAATAATGTCCTTTGTCCCATTTCATTTCTTGACATACTTCTTTGTCTTCTTACACGGTACTGGCCACAATGTCTACTCTTTCTCATGTTGCTGCTTCATACCAGACATCACCCTCCTCATCCACATGGGACTGACCTTCAGCCAGCAGATGTACAGCAGATTATGAGTCCCTTTAGCTCACCATTGCTCCTGGTTCAGATGATGTTCTTGATCTGAACTGCAAAGAATTTCCCCTCTCCTAACCTCATAGCTGGTTATGTGAGACCCAATTGATTGATATCTGTGGAAGCAGTGTGGGGGACAGGAGAAACCATGGAAAAAATTTGCTGTTGAATATTCTCCTAAAGAGAGGTTCTGCTTCAAACAGGTTGTACATAAAAGCTGACGGGTGAAATATTTCATTTTATGGTATTCAGAAGATTGTACTAGATGAAAGATATGCAGATCCTTGACTTTCTGGTGGCTGTTAAAGTAAATGCTCCTGGGACTTCTCTCAATCACTGAGGCCAACTGACACAGAGCACCTTGTGTTACTGAAGTCTGTCAGCCTCCAGAACAGGGTGTTCTTATCACGCCACACATTGAGTGATGAGCTCTGTCCTGTCTTAATTGCCTAACCATCTAGAGATTGTTTAGGAGAATGCTGGATATTGTGGACAAAAATACATGGCCCCATGGTCCATTGTAACAGGGTAAGAATATGAATTATCAAGTTTCAGTGGAAGGGACGATATCTGGTCACTATTTGTTATACTTCAATATGTCCCAAGCACTTTGGTGACAGACCAAAGCATTCATGTTTGCACAGCCCTAGACCTGATAATCCCACAAGAGCAGGCTGGGGGCCATGCTCCCTTCCTCAGACACAAATTGTCCTAACATATTGCATTTTGGTCAATCTGCCTTCCAAGCTGCAAATAAACCTGTTAGCCAGACCCCAGAATTCTTCTTCCTTACACCAGATGTTTTTTTTGGAATCCCTTTGAATTTCATAACTGCCTGTGAGCCCCTGCCTCCCCAGCCCCCACACATGATTTTCCAAATGCCTTTTCTAGGACTCTGCACTGGCATATGAAGTTAGCACGGTTTTGTCTGTGAGATGTCATTTATTAATACGAGGGTTTAATGATATGGCACAGTCACAGAAAAAATGAAAGCTGCTTATGCCCCGCGGTGCCCCAGTGCCACGTTATTGAGTGCCAGTGCTTTCACTTGCTTTTGCCTGCTTTGCCACCCTGTTTTGCCTCTTTTCTGCTGCAGTTTCTTTCACCCAAGCAGTCTGGCTGTTTTGCAGACCCGCTGCAGGTGAGATCCCCATGCTCAGTAAAATGCAATATTATTTCATAAAAGGGAACATCAAAGAAATTAAAGTCAGTACCTTCATCCTCAGGTGCCTAAATTCAGCAAAATTCCTCAGTATTTAGGGACGAGACAGGTGACCTGATTGCCAGAGGTTGTACCACCGTGTTTGGAGATGGCACCTCTGCATGTTTGCAGATCCCATTGGCTCTGATATGAGCAATGGTTGCTTAGCAACTTCAAGATGAAGTCCAACTATTTTGTTGTCTGAATAAGGATTCAGACATTTAATTTCAGGGACCCACATTTGAAATCACTAGTTTAGTAAAATGGATGAAGGTCACAAGTAGAGATGGCGGCTGAGTGCGAGAGGCAGAGCCAAGCTTCCTCCTCAATGCCCATTTTAGTCAGAAGCAACCACTTGCTCCCCTTCCAGAGATATTTTGGACCTTTGGTGTTAGGAATCATCCTTTCTGTCCCAACATGGACAAAGCTAGCTCCTGGGAATGGAGTATTTGTGTAAATGGGCCAGGCGAGTGTTTGGAATGTCTGTCCACTCTAAGTGCCTGCATCCAAAGCTGGTATCCTCACCAATGCCCTTGGTGACATGGGGACGAGGGGTGATGGGGCACTAAGTTGCTCATTAGGAGTCTTCAGCTTGACTCCCAGACCCTTCTCAAGGGTCACACTTTTGCCCAGTCTGCAAAATGGGAATAGTGAGGCTTCAACCACCTTTGCCAAGAGCTCCGAGAAGCTCGTTTCCATCGTACAAATGCTATGCAAGATCTAAATAGCACTGTTATTTCTAGTGTGTTATCCTGATATAGCGTGAGAGGCATAAACAAGATCCGCATTTGCTGATGGTGACTCACTGTGAGCCTTTGAGGGTTGTGTGGAAGGGCTTGCTCTGATGTTTTTGCTGCTCTGAGATAGATTATTGATTCTCTTTATCTGGTGTTCGTCTTACAAACCCAAGGTGATGAGCATCCTGTTAGTTTCAAGAGCACTGGTGCTATTTTTCTACGGCTTCAAGGGACACAGAATATGATCCAAGTACCCTCAGATGAGCAAAAAAACCAGGTCAACCTGGTTCACATCAATTAAACTGCCAACTCCAAGGGAAGGCTGAAAAGTAAGATTGGATAACAAAAGCAGACCTTGTCCAGTGAGAGGGTCAGAAATTTTCCATTAAATTGTACTTTGCTTGGCTTGGGTTGGCTTCTTTTGTCACTAAGTTTGTTGGGAAATGCCTGATAATTGAAAACAGTGTCTTTCATCTGGAAAAAAAAGTAATCCAGAGAAAAATCTCAAAAAAGTGTCAAAATCTTGTATTTTGACATTGCTGCCAAAGAAAAAAATTGTGATCTTTCCCATTACAAAAGAATTTGTTATTTTAGAAATGTAATCTTATTCCCAGGTAATTAATGTAAGAAAATGTGTAGAATCTAACAGATCTATATATACAGCTGTCAAGATACAAAAATAAGGGTTTGGCTTTCACACAGTAGAGATTTTGATGTTCTTCTCAATCCATAGCAGAAAAAGGTTTCTCCAGCAGCAGCTGCAATGTCAACATTCCTTTCTTTGCAGCAAACCCTCCAGCCAAAAAATGCTAGATGCAAAATTTACCACATCTCTTTACAGAAAGCCTGTCTTGGCTCTCTCCCTCACCCCACCTTCTGCCTTTCTTGAAAGCCATAAATATGAAGAGGCCAGCTGAAGTTAACTGCAAAATACCCACTTCCAAACAGGTGTAACAAAGGAGTGAGTCTGAAATGAGCACTCTGCAGAAAAGAGAGGGAGAGAGGAGGTGGGGTGGGAGGCGGGAAGTGGAGAAAGGGAAAAAAATAAAACCACTACATGACTGAAGGCCTTATAAATGTAAATGGTTTGACAGAAAGGGTTTAGCAGCCCTGGGTAGAAGATTGCACTTGCTGTTCCAAGGCCCTTATTTTTGAAATCGCATCGCTGGATCCCTTTTGAGGCTGGTCCCTGTGTTTGCTTTTTCAATCAGTGAATATCAGATTTTCTCTCTTTTCTTTTATTTTTTTTTTAATTCTCTACACTCAGATATGCCAGGCTTAAACGAAATCTCAAAGAGAGAGAGAGAATATGAACTGTGTTCTGGACCTCAAAAAGAGCTCATCCCTGTTGCCATTATTACTACTTAGTTATGAATCTCCCATCTCCCTCACCTGACCCCCCCTTCCTCACCAGCCTCCATCCCTTGTTTTCCTGCAGCAAATCCCACCTTACCTTTTGGATGTTTTTTGCTTTTTTCTTCCCCACTACATTTATCTATATATTTTACACCCAGTAAGTCAATCAGTTTCAAATTATTGGTCCCTGAGACAGATGTTTGGTGAGTCATTTAGCTGCGCGAAGTTCTTCAGACGGTTTGCTCTTCCACCTCCTGTTCATTTAAAGCATCTTTTGAGGCTGATTTTTCCTTTTCAAAA